ATGGAAAAACATGGGAGCCGGATGCACGTCGCCAGGACCCATTCCAGTGCTCTACTCAGTGCCATGTCTTGTGATACTGTTGATCTTTGCGGCGAAGCTTCTCAAGAAATTTGCAGTCCGTTACAGGTATCCACAGGCACTTTACAGAGCCTTGGTTTCGACCTGTGGCATGAACGGTCGGTCCATTGCTGAGGTTGTGCTGTGCGCTTGAAGGGACATTTGGCACTTCGACACATGTTCCAACACATCTTGGCTTCCTGGCCAGCTCCTCCACCTCTTGTCGTGCTGTTCTGGTCGCTTTGACGGCTGGTCTTGCCGTTTGGCTTCCAGACACCCGTATCTGATCCAAACCAGCCCTGCCGGCCAAAATTCTGGAGAGCTGAGCACCTCGGACTCCGGAGAACTGCACCTTGGGAAGAACTTCGGCCGGAAGGAACCAGGGCGACAAGAGGATCAGACATAAAAAACAGTGCCTCCCCCTCCACTCCGCCAACTTGATCTCTCCTCTTCATCTCACGCCGATGTTGTCTAGCTCAGTTCTCACCCCAGTGGTGCGGTAGCAGGTGTCGCCGAGGGCGTAGGTACCACAGTCGTCGTCGCTAATGGTTGTCGTTGAAGGGAGCGGCGGTGCCATCGGAGGCGGCGGTGCCGTTGTTGGAGAAGGCGGCGGTCGTTGGGTGGCCGGCGGTGTTGTGGTAGGAACCACCAGTGCCACCGTGGGAACCCGGGTGTCGCAAGCTTTCCGGGCCGGCTTGGGTCCATCTGCGGGCGCCTTTGGACTTCTCCACGAAGGTCTAGTTTTGTCCCGGGCGCATTTTCCAGCGCGCTGTAAAGCATATGCTGGAACGGCGGTGGCGCCTCTTTGCCCTCTTGCTTCGCCGATACCACATCTTGTCGTTCTTGCTCGAAGACCAGGCTCCAACAGCGTGCCGCTGTGGCCACTCCATCAAGACGTTTCAACAGGAGTTGCATTTTGCTCCTACGGTGGTGTTCATGTGGGGAGACGACAAGAGAAAGGATGGGAAATGCCACTATTAGCCTGGACACTGGATCCGAGACTGCAGAAAGAAAGCGGCTGATGAGAAAGCCGGAGTGTCAGCAGCGACGGCCGCATCAGCATCTGCTGCCTCCCCATCTGAGGGTAGTTTCCCGAAAGCCACCTTTTCGAGCGCACCTGCAAGTGCAGCCCCGGGCAAGAGTGCTAGTAAGATCGGCAAGGCCGCCCTTCTTTCCGCTTTGCCTCCTGTTGCGGGACACACTCTGAGTTGGAAGCCTTGAATTTTTCAACGTTTTCCCCATCCGTTGTCGTGGGGGCACTTGCGGTACCTGGCCCACGCCTGGAAAAGGTCTGGGTCTAGTCACAGGCCTGTGTGTGGCAGACATGCGTATGCAGCCGCGACAGAAGTTTTGAAGCATCTGTCACATGGAGACTTCACACAAAGTTCTCTCTGTCAGCTTCGTTGTTTTGGAGGGACCAACTGGACCTCGCAAATCAAACAAAGGAGAAACGACGGTTGGAGTGCAGTCGCAACCAGTTATGCCAGCATGACGCAATGATGTGGATTTTATGCTGACAAGGCAGCTGTGTCAAAACAACGTGCAGCTGCCATTTTTTCGTGCTTTCAAATCAGTTTATCCAAGTCTTTTGATATTGTTGTCGTTCTGACCGCTGGTTTCCTGGCTTGTTGGCAAAACGAACAACAAAACACCTTTCCCGAATGTGGTGACGACTATCCGGCTGGTTTTGAAAGTAGTAGCTGGTAGCGATGTCCGCAGTCGGAGGGAAACTTGTTTGTTCGGGGCCAGCGAACGCCCGCTTGTACGGGTGTCGGCATTGCTTGCTTTGCATGGAGGTGGGTAGAAACTGTTTGATGTGTACTGCCGACTTTAGATCAGCAGCAAGAGGCACTATTCACATGGGCATGTGGACGAGCTTTGTGGCTTATTAAGCGGCATTCATCCGACAGCATGTGCCGCAAGTTCGATGCAGTGCTCAACAGAGAGAAACAGAAAGGGAGAGAGAGAGAGAGAGAGAGGGAGAGAGAAACAGAACAAAAAGACGGACAGAGAGAGTGCCTTAGATTTGTGGATTCAAACTTTGGGTCATGACTCTGCCAACACACATCTAGCAAAACGCATACATGGCCGCTTTTGCGCGCCGTTCGTCAGGACGTCCTCGAGAAGCTCGTAGGTTGCAGCATGCGAATGTTGCGGTACACTGTCCCCAAGGAAGGGCGTAAAGTTTCGGCTTTAAACCCAGAGCACTGAACGCTAGACTCCTAGACGTGGAACCCCAACGTGCAGGCCATCATATGACCATCTTTTTGATCGGCAGGACATGGCGAATGCTGAAGAATGTTACCGACATGGCCTCGAGAGTCGGATCCTTACCTAGGGTCAAGGGCGAAGGGCTTAAGGTTCGGCGCTTCTTATGGATGATGCAACGGTCGGTTGACTGTCAATCGTCGTAATGCCTCGATCGGCATGTTCAGGCTTGCAAGCCTTGCAGCAGAAGAAGCACGGATGCTTCTCGGTGGAAGATCCTCTGCGATTGGAGGTGTCTTTGGGTTGGCCAGTGATGGACTTGGTATTGGTCACCTCAAGTTTCGTCAGCAGGGCGGAGTGTGCAACCCGATCCCCGACCGTCAGTTAAGTGATCACTCTTTTCTGTGTCTATCTTGTTCGACCGTTGTCGGTGCGCTGAACAGTGACACGATGTGCATATTTCCTATCAAAGGCTTATTTCAAGGTTCCTGCTTAGCCACGCAGGGTTTGAATTGAACTGGCGGGAGCGACATTCAAGAAGAGTCTACATAAGCTTCATCGAAACAACGTCTTCACGGCAGATGCTGTTGGGTGCTTGGCTTTTCATTTTGCTTGCTGACACGTAGTGTGTGCAGGCTGCCTGCTTGGCAGCTGGAGACTCGCTGGAAAAGCTATCTGAATGGAGGCCTGCCGCTGTGCAGAATGCCTTTAGGAGCAACTATGCCATGCCCATCCTAGAAAAACCTAGCTTTGTCTGGTGTTATGCTTGCAAGGGGCATGGCTATCATGTTCTGGGGTTCCATTGTACTGGCGGAAGCAGATCTATCCCTGTCTCAGTCAATGCGAAGCTGGCATCCATCTCAGCAGGCGAGCCTGGGACATACTGCTTGGATTGATGAAGCACTTGGGTGGAGGCACGTTTCTGCATGAATCTCAGGGGCCGAGGATTCAGCACTCTGCACAAAATGGTGGCTGAAAAGGTGTAGGTCAGTGTAGGTCCATGTTCGCTATGGAAGTTGCGGTTCTGCATCTCAATCTCTGTTCCGATCGCCGGCAGGCAAAGCCCGGAACTCAGCGTGCGCGTGAGATTTTCAAGAAGTTTCTCTTGCCTCAGTACGTCCGTTTTTCTAACACCCTGAGTGACTGAAGACCATTGAGTCCTTAAAGAGCCTTAAAGCCTGCATGCCTGCTCCGAACTGAACGGACCAAGGAAAGCAATACTTTGTCCGATGAGACTGCCGCAGCCTTAAGCTTGAGCGAATCAACTCTAACCAGGTGGTCGGGTTTCAGAGTGTCATATTGAGGCTAAAACAAAGTGTGAGTGTGTGTGTGTGTGTGTGTCTTGCAGTGTATCACTGGTAACTAGTAATTGTCAGAGACGAAATTTGTAGTCGAAACGCCAACACGTGGTGATGACACTCTCAGATCCACTGTTGATCGTGTTTGGCCTTGCTCCTAGGTTTTGCGGATGCATGTGTGGAGCTTGGTCAAGTCGCAAAAGGAAGGAGGTGTTGGACAAGAGCCTGTGATCCTTCAGCAGCAACGGCTTTTGATTTGTCGTGTTGTCCTGAGGCCCATGTCTGCATGAGATCAGCCAACTTGCTTGGACGGATAGTTTCAGGCACGCTCAAAGGTTTTACTTATGGTGCAAGAGCTCTAGAGAGGCTGTTCATCTTCTGTCGGCACTGATGGTGTTGTGAACAACTAGCGTGCTGAGTCTCGTAGTCACTTTCCGTTTTTGCCCAATGAGATCTCATTGAAATTCGCCTGCCGAAGATGATGTGTTTGGGCTGGGAGGCATTGCAGAAAACGACATCACCGACCTCTGTGGCCATTTGCGCGCAGGTTGCTGGCTTCAAAGACGTTGTGTGAATGGTGTGGTTTACGCAGGTTCGAGTATCGTTTTCTCGTGCCGACTTTGCAACTGAATTTCTTGGCACCCCCACCGATGCAGTGACAGAGTTGATTGTCTACGCCAGCACAGTCAGCGCGTCCAGAATCAACAGTATGACGTTTCCCACCTCGATGAAGTTTAGAGCTGTTAAATTCTTTTTGTGCGTGTGCGTGCTGCTCGTGGAATTCCTTTGTTCATCTTTCAGCAGCAAGTTCCTAAACTCCAAGCCACAAGCCAAGGCTTGAGAAACTCTTTGGCAATCGCTTCTACCAACTCCCGGAAGCACCTGCCGACTGCACGGAAGCTCATTGCACGCGCCCAAGTTGATGATTGGTCCTTCTAGCCAGAGTCTGTCTATCGAGAGTGACGTGGGTTTCTGGCAGAAAGGTATCCTCAACTAGAGAACTATCCATCTTTGGATTAATCTGAATGCTTGATGTTTGTCATTTAATGCAAAGCATCGGGGACTCACGTGTCGTACGTTAAACGACCCAGAATCCCGGCCATCAGAAAACATTAAATTCATCAAGTGAGAGAAATATCCCGTTGTAGTCCCCATGTAAGTTTAGCAGTTTAGCAGTCTACTAAGTACCCCAAAACCCTGTTTGCTCTTATCATTAAGGGATACTTTTGTCACTCCGGGATAAATGCGAAGTACAGGAGTGGCTGGTGCACGTCGCCATCTCGCAGACCGCCAGCACATCTCCGAGAATGGCCTGGGCCTGTGCCAGAGGGCTGAGTATTGCCAATCAACGCTTCTTGGAGTTGTTCTTTCTGTAGCATCGTCTTTGCTGCCATGGAATGACCTTAAGCGACGATGATTGGCTCTGGCTGTCTGGCCTTCAATCGTCCCCAGACTGAAGCATGTCAAAAAGGGACACCAATCACGGAAACTTGAGGACCATGAGTTGGTTTGTGTTTGCGGTTTCAGTTGAGAAAAGTGCTGTCATTGCAGCAACAGTAGCAGTAACTTTAGCATCTTCGTCAGGTTTTTAGCGGGAAAGATTCCCTAAACACAGCTCCGACATCCAAGTCATCTCAAGCGAACGGTTTCTGCGACCTTCTCAGCCAGCGTGAGGCGTTGCAGTGCTGGCAGCAAGCCCAACGTGTGTTCAGCGAAGGGGTCAGCACGGAGAAGGTGCAGTCGGCCACTCCCATCCCCTTGTGTAAATTGAGCGGCATAACCTTGCAAGACATAGCTTTTTTCCCTGACAGAGCCCCCCCATGATATCTTGCAAAATGAGGGGCGGGGTACTTCTCAGCCCGGAAGTCCCGGAAGGTCTTGGGAGCTTTGAGCCACGGGCGGAGGCCCATGGAGCAGCTGCAGCTCCTTCAGTCGGTCGGCCACCTGGCCAGGCCGGAGCCATGAGAATCAACAAAAATGAGAGGCAAGTGGCCATGTAGACGACAAGGTCGTGTCTGCAGACCAGTCATGTGTCCTGCGCGTTGCAGTTCTTCCACACTCGATCGGATCGAGATTCGGTATGCTTCTCAGGCGGGGTCGGATCCCACCAGACGTGGCCGAGCCGATCTCAAGGGTGATCCAATTCTTGATGCAGCCGGTCCCACCACTCTGGGGGCAGCTCTCTCTCCCTGACAAGGAGCCTAAACCCCAAACCCTAAAGGCCAGTTCTGGGCGAGTCTGGTTTTGCCGTGACTGCATGTCCTTTGCTTAACCTCTTTGATCCGTCGTTGTCTGTGCATGTTGACGGAAAGAATGACGCTGCTGATGCCCTGATGCCGCAGATTCGTCGTTGCAGCAAACCATCGTCTCTGAGCCACTGTCGACCCAGAATATTTAACGAAGAAGCCTGGTAGTCGTGTCTTTGATCTTGCCCTTTCCTGAAGGGTGAGCTTGCAGCTTCTGTGCCCGACCTTTGCGGCCAAAGGCCACTGCTTAAGAGAAAGGGGGCCCAGCTCTCTCCCTGACCAGGAGGCTGCATCCAGAGTTCTTGCCTCCGCCCTGGAAGCTCTTACGCTCTGTCTGCCGCCAAGCCCAGAGCAGAGTACCTGGGACTCCAAACTGGCCTGAAATGGCCTGAAATTCAGACTTTTCCGGAGACTTTCAGAACTCTCACTCTCAATTCGCTCTGAGTGTCTTCTGGGACGTTTCAAGTTGCTGGAAGGGCGCGTTGGTTGCTCGTCTTCTTGATCCGATCCAGGGCTCGGCACCAGGTAGCACGAATGCGACTGTGTCCAAGGCATCTCATCTTTGGATTGGGCGGATGCGTTCATGGAGCAGCTGACTGGAAGTGCAGGCACCAGTGAAATGACTCGTAAGGCAGCCTTTCAACAACTTGCGAAGATGAAGCTGCATGTCCCCAACCCAAAATGAGATCAGACTTTACACTGCGTGGCTATGTTTCGTCTGTTGGTGGCTGTGGCTGGCTGTGGCTCGCATCATGCGCATGTGCTAATGGTGTCTCTGTAGCCTTTGTCCCGTTCCTGTCAGGCGACTTGAACCGGGGAGATCCATCACTTCCATCGTTGCAGATGCTTTTCTCTGTGGTTTTGCGAGCACGTCTTCAGCAAAGCGAGGCCAGCATCGTTCTTCGCACGATAGGAACTACTTCGGCAGGCAGGCCACTAAAAAGGGCATTTTCTGCGAGCCCCTGCTGCTAGGAGTTTCGCAAAGCCGATCCGCAGCTGCTGATGATGCAGCGGTCGGACCTCTTTGCGCTCGTTTTGCAGGGGCAGTCGCTGCAAGAATTCACAGAGCTCTCCGGCGATGCAAGCTCCTGGCCCGCAGCTGGTGCTCTCCGCTCGTAGATATCTGTGTTTTTTGGGTGTGTCTCTGTGCATGCTGTACATATAAGGGTGTTATTCTAGGGGCTGCGCCCACTGGGAGGGCAGCGCAGCTAGAAGCCTGGAGCAAGGCCACGCATCCCCTCTCCGCCGAACCCTGCTGATGCTGATGATGCACGCCCTTTGCGGGCTTCCGCAACCCACTCAAGTGGCAAAACATCGGCTCGTGCTGCAGGGCCGGCTGCGGGCGCCCCGAGTGCTCATGATGCTCGCCGGCTGGCCTCCTGGGGCCGTCCACGGGATGCGAAATGCGTGCGTGTTCCGAAAGGCCTCCGGGCGAGGTCCCGCGCGGCCCGGTGGAAATCGATGAAGCAGGGTCAGCGGCACTGGGCGGTCTCGCCTTTTGCTAAAGCAAAGCTTGCAAGCTGCACCTCGGCTAAGCCTCGAACCTGCCAGGACGCATGCGCTCGGGGACCGAGCGCTGCCCGACTGCCGCCATTGCCCAAAAAGGCTTCGTGCGGGCGAGCTTCAAAGCCAGTCCTTTCGTTGCGCGTGTAGGTAAGAATTTAATGAATTGCAGTTCAATACACGACATAATTTGTTTCTTGTGGCTTGCGGCAGTGGGGGCTTGGGTGTAGATGTTCCGAAAGTATGCACGGAAAACGTCCAATGCTCAAGTCTGAAATTCCCAAAGTGCCGAGTTGCAAGCAGGCAAAGTTGAACTACCAACTTGTCGGCCGGTCTTGAGTTGGAAGGCCTGAGCCTCCTGCAGGGGGCGAGGGCTGACGACGACAAATCACTACTCTGAAGGCATGGTCCAGTAGTGGGCGCAGGCGCTGGGGGCACTGAGCGGTCGGGGGGCTCGGAGGGGCATGAGGGGTAGAGCTTGCCTTGGGCTCGAATTATAAATGACGAATCACTAGAGGTCGGGTGAAGCGGGGCGCTGGGGGGTCGGGGGGGTCGGGGGTGCATGAACAAGCCAAGGCAAAACAATTTAAAAAATGCGCAGCGAAAGTACTCGCTTCAAACTCGTGCAGCGAAATCCCGCATGAAGTGAGCAAAGCCGAGAACCGAGCAGGTAGCACAACTTCTGAGCGCCGCCCCCGCAGGGGTCGGGGGATATATGTATGTATATAGTTATCTATATATATATATACATATGTATGTATATCTATTTCTATCTATGTATACCATGATCATCGTCGGTATATAGACATACCCTAAACTCTAAGCCTGTCTATGTCACATCTACGTATACGTGTGAAGACTCTGGCTTTGAAGCAAACAAATCCGCACATGGCTAAACCTGTAGGCAGAAACGAAAACTTACACATAATTCAACTAGGGAAATCGAAAAACGATTAGGCTTAGGACATGGTTGCAAGTCATTGTTGCACTGTCGAATTGTCAGGAGGATTGAAACTAGGACGCAGGTTCAGGACAACTTCAAAACCAGAAATCCACAAACCCTGAACCCGGGCCGGGTGGCGACACCACGCAGCATAGAACCATCGACCTGGTGCAAATGAAGGCAGGAAGTTGCAGCAGTAGCTGCTCAAGTATTCCGTGCATATGTATTTATGCACACATGCATACATACATACATACATACATACATACATACATGCAACATGCATGCATGCATGCATGCATACATACACACACACACACGGACGAACGGACGAACGTACGGACGGACGGACAGACAGACAGACATTCATAAATATACTTATGGTTCAGTACCAGTATGCAATTGGGGTATTTTCCCTATATTTTGTCATGGTTGATGATGGTAACTTTTATGTTGATGTTTGTTTCGACACTCTTACACTTTTTAGACATTTGTTGGGGACGTTTTGATCTGCAGCATTCTTCGAAGGAATTTATCAACAGGATTCAGTGTACTTGTCGGTCGGTCTCAGCCGACTGTCGAGGCCTTGTGGCAGCGGCTTCACCGGCGATTCCCAAAAGTGACCATCGCAGCACGTGGCTGCGATTAGCCGGCCTTGAAGGCACCACAGCGCAGACGCTTCCTGGCTTCTACCGTTACAGCGTGCAGGCGGTGGAGGCACTGCGCCTGCAGCTTCCGAGAGGCCTTGCCGCGGCGCTGCTCTGCCTTCGACAGTTGCGGCTACACCATGCCGTGCTCGCGAAGGACCGGGAGCGCGCTACCAAGGCTCAGGAAGGCTGGCACCTTGCCCACTGCGCATCCTTCGCGCGCCTCACCGTTGCCCAGATATCGGAGCCGGACTTTGCGGCTGCCCTGAGCAAAAGCGGCGCTAGCAGGAGGATTCCTGCACTGGCCGTGGTGGTGCAGCTGGAGCGGTGCATCCAGTCGCAGGGAGAGGAAGCCGAGACGTTGCTGGAAGTGGGCAGGCTGCGTCTGCTGCAGGCTCAAGCCTCACAGCAAGGGGCGATCACAGACGATGAGGGTGGCCACGAGGTGCGGCTGTGGTCTCAGATTCACCCCCAAGCTGGAAGCCTACGAAGTCCCAACCCTGAAGGTGGCCCTATCACTGTTTCAGCTCCAAGAATTCCTTGGGATCTCTGACCTTTCACGTCTTTTCTCGGGGGTTTGGGATGGTTTGGGATTGGGGGCTTTGGGGTTTGGGTGTTCGGTACAGGGGTCGGGGTTTGGAATTCCGGGGCATCGAGAGCTAGCGCGGAAGCTGTGTGGGCTCCGAAACCGCGACAGGCCGGTTCCAGATGCTCTGGAGCCATCCTTTCCCTAGGATACGGCAAGATTCACCAGGAACCGAAGTTGACCTTTGGGGAACATACCTGCAATTCCAGGGGCCTGAAATCACGTGATCTGAGGTATATTCCTTAATATTTTGAGGGTATATTCCTTAATACTTTGAGGTACATTCCTTAACACTTTGAGGTATATTCCTTCCAAAGAAGGGGCCTCCGGGAGCCCTCAGGAGCCCAGGCGCTTTGTGGCCGCGGCCCTCGCGGCCTGGCAGAGAGCTCTGGTCGTGGACTCCAGAGTTCTGGCAGCCAGGTCGGAAAGGGTTAAGGGTTGAGGGTTAAGGGTTTAGGGTTGAGGGTTTAGTTAAGGGTTAAGGGTTGAGGGTTAAGGGTTTAGGGTTGAGGGTTTAGTTAAAGGTTAAGGGTTGAGGGTTAAGGGTTTAGGGTTGAGGGTTTAGTTAAGGGTTAAGGGTTGAGGGTTCAGGGTTTAGGATTTCGGGTTGCCACAAGGGTTTGTGTAAGAGTTCTGATGAGGGTTGCTACAAGGCTACTAGGGGTTACTGCGAGGGTTGGGTGTAGTTTTGGGGCTTCCAGTTCACTTTTCAGGGGCTCAGGATCTTGGGTTCCGGGAGGGGAGGTTTGGAAGGTAATCGACCCGAGTACCCCCAACACCCTAAGCCGGGTTCAGGGCAGGCCTTGACGAGCCCTGCCGGTCTAGGCATGCAGGGCCTCGACGGGGAGGGGTCACAGAGGAATAGTGCTGGTAACAGTAAACACTGACTCTCATGATAACCTAAGTGTTGCGGCCGGTATCCGCGAGGGGGAAACCGGCCTGATGGACAGGACCCCTGCAGGGGTAGCGGATGCGCTGCAGGCCGCGACAGCTGCTTCGTTTGCAGGCCACGGTGAGAAGGGCCTTAGCGGCCTTAGCATTTTGGGAATTTCGGGATGTGCGTTTGTGTCTCCGGGGCTTAGATCGTCTGCCCCAAGGTGCAGCTGGTCGCTTGACACATATCCGCTTAACTTGGACTTTGCGGCAGCATCTTATTCTGGAGTGTCTGCCAAGTCTGGGAAGGAAAGAGGTAGCCGGATACAAATGTGAGCCAGCTAAGCCCCGGACCCCACGCCTTACCGTCCAGACTTGACATCCTAACCTGACGGGTTCCAGGAAGGATTTTGCCGAGACCCTAACTTAGGGTGTGGCGTCAGTGGTTGCCCAACAGGCGGCTCGCACGCCATCCTGCTGCTGCGCGATGCCTCTGATGCAGCTCATCTCCTGGAGGGTATGGACCGCAGCCGAGCCACAGCCGCCCTGTTGACCTCACTGCCCGATTCCTGAACCTTAAGCCCTTCTGAAAATCGCCATCATGCAGGACCTTGATCACCTGGCTTTCCGTGCTCTTGCCGGGCCCTGTGAATGAAGCATGGGGGCGTTCTACCTCCTTAGATCAGCTATGCAGCGATCATGACAAGTGAGATGACACTTTATGATGGCTTTGATAGTGGATGCAAAAAGTCGGTGTCGTCATCATGTTCGACAGAATAGCAGTACTTTCCGATAGAGTTTTCGCACCCAGTAGTGGACGCGCACAGGTTTACAAGTAATGTAGGGGCCTGTATCAGTTCCTGCTACGATGTGTGTGTGTGTGTGTTGGGTTGTTGATTCTGGGAAACCCAGTTCCAATTATTGTTGCCCCTATATTAGACGACAGCCGGCTCCAGGTTTCTGATGGTTCAAGCACATACATTGACATGGGATGATTTGCATGAGGGCATGGCGACCCTGCCCGATGATGTCAAACGCAAAAGGTACTTCATGCCTGAGCGCAACTGGTGAAGATGTATCTTGCCATGGTTTTTGCAATCCGGAGGAGCCGAATAAACACTTGTCTCTATATTGCATAAGTATGCATAGACGAAGAAATTACATACACAACGCAGTTTGTACATACACGCATGGTTATGTACACATGCACATCCGTGGAATGTTTTTCCAAACGGATATGTACATGTATGTATGTATGTATGTATGCATGCATGCATGCATGCATGCATGCATGCACGCATGCATATACATAATATACACATGCACCTTTGTCTGTCACAGTGTGTGCATACGCAGCTTGCTTCAGGTCCTGTGTCTGGCTTGTCTGTACCGACGACATGGATCAGCTGCGCTCTGGTGGCGGTCGGCCCCTCAGTGGGTTCAGTGTCATTGTTTCAAAAATGATGCCCTAAGCTGTGAAGTTGCAAAATCCAGGCCCGAAGCTATGGAGGTGCGCGAGAAGGTGCCCTCTTGCATGCAGGCGCCAGATGTGCTGCCTCTGCGGTTTGGAGTATGTTAGAGTCTAGAGGTGTGCTGGCGACTGTTGTGATTCGGTTTTGAAGCCCAGGAAGGCTTTGTGTGTGAGTTGAACAAAAGAAATGCTCTGCTTCTGCGTAAGGCTTCAAGCATTTTGCAGCTAATTATCGAGATTGTTTCGAGTAGGGCACAGTTGCTATGTCTTGGTAATAATCATGCTTGACGCGTTCTTCGCATACTGCTGTCGTTGTCGTCCCAGCGTATCTTGTTACTTGTTGAGGGGCAGGGGCAGCTCGTGTACGAAGGCGGTACTGTGGGCCTCCCGTCTCCCACAACCAAACTGAGCCTGAACGGTGCACCCAAGGGCCCCGAAGTCCGGGAAGTGAAAGCCCGTGCCCGAGGCTTCCGTCGTCCTCCTGTACCGCATGGCCGGTGCCATGGGTCGCCTTGCATCCACTCCCACGGCGGACGCAGAGGCACGCTCCGACGGGCCGCCAAGCTCCGAAGTCCAAGCCCCGCAGCGCGGAAGCTATAAGAGCACGCACCTCCGCATGGTTTCAGGTGCGTGCCGCCGCCCTGGGCTGGTGGCAGTTGGCAGAGGCAGAGCTCCCGGATCTCCAGGTTTTTCTCAGAAATCCTGGCCCTGGGGGCCACCAAGGATCAACATCTTCAGCACAAAAAGCAATCCTAAACCCTAAACCAGGTAGGTGTAAGTTTCGGCGCACTGAAGTCCGAGCTCAGATTTGAGCCAAGCTGACGCAGTTTCCTGTTTGGTAGGAGATGCCATGACCAGTTGCATTCGTCGAGGTTATGTTGCGGATAGTACATATGCATATTCGCAGAAAAACAAGAATGTGACATACGCTACATTATATTCGTAGTATAAAAAATATAGCATACCCTGCATTACTTATTACATGACTTGTTTCAACTTTGCAGAAGCGGGAGAAAGTGGGGCCTCCGAACCTGGCCGCAGTCACCTCGAAAACGTCTGAAGCTTGCATGTCTTCTTGCGGTGTTCGCTACAGTTCAGGGTTATTTTTTTCATGTTATTGCCATCGAAGGTCTCCCACCAGTACACGTCCTGGTCTTTGACCGCCATATTCTGCTTGTCTGTTTCCAGTGTTGCCATGATCGTACTTTGTATGGCTCTCGTGGTTGTCATTGCCACCATCATAGCAATGCTTGTTTGTTCTACCATTTTGCCATCAGTTTCACTGCTGTCAAGATTCCGACTCGGGACTCAAGCATAAACTGCGAGACTCCTAAGTGCACTGAGCATGAGGCTGCTGGAAGTGGAATACCGGATGGGCAGGCCCGGCCAATATTTCGTGAAGGTTTCTGCCCGACGGCATCGGTTTCGGTGGAGGGGTTTTCGGGACGGTGGTTTAGGTTGTGGGAGATTCCGGAGTTGTCCACGGTTTCGGGATTTAGCCTGCGCCGCGCCCAAGCCGTCTTAAGGGGTGTTTTTACCCAGAAGCCGGCCGCTATTTATCCTAGGCTGCAAGTCAAATGTACCTGTGGGAGCACTGAGGGCTCCCATATCGTTGCCCTTCAACGCCTGATCGCTGTCTCGACGATGTCCCGTCCCTAGCGGCCCTAGTGGGGGCGTGGCCTTCACTCTGCTTCTCGCGACTTGACTTCTCTCCCGAGGCCCGAGCAGTCTCCGGGGATCTGGGGCGAAGGCCCGAACAGAAGCTGCAGGTGAAGGAGACCCGTCCCAGCAGCGCTCCACTGTGGTTGCAGCTTGTCACCTCCTGACCTGATGCACTGCACTTGCGACAGAGCCTCCCATGTCAGTAGTACCAGGTCTGGCCGGATGTCAAGTCCGTGCCCCACAAGGGAACAGTAAAACAATTCTTCGAAGCCCCGTGTTGGCGAGTTTGGTTCATGGCTACACGTCCTGGAGCTGTACATGACCACACCCAAGATGTGCAGCGACTGAAGAGCCGATTCACGCGTTGCATTCTCCTACACCCGATGCTTATTTCGGAATGGGACGCCGAGGCCCTTGAAGCTCTCAGCCCTCAGCTCCTCCGTCCTTGATCCTGATTTCCTCAAGCCTCCGAGGCAAAATCCGTCCTACTCATACTCCTTTTCCTGCTTCTCCTCTGTAGCTTTCTCCTGCGGCTCCATCTACCAGACATGCACGCGAACCTGAGCGTGTTATGTCGTCAGTAACAATGGATACACGAATGCATCAGCGCACGTCCGAAGCTGCGGAGGTGGTGCCTGGATCGATGTCCACGCTTCCGCCAGGCTGAACTGTTGACATTCCATGGAAGGTAAGGCCAGGGGGCTCGAAGCAGGCAGGTTGGGTTAATTTGGGTTAGGGTCCACTTCGAGGGCTGCGAAGTCGCCTTTGCACAGGGCGGCCGTGGCCTGCGTGGCTCGTGAAGAAGGCGGGCCTGAAAAGCTCGGAGGGTCTCGAGAGCTGCCCCCGTTTTTGGATGCCAGGTGCGGTTCCGCAGAATTGGCTGCACGTGGTCGAGGCTTTTCGATGGGTAGATGGTGGCTTTGAGTACTCGGACTTTGCGTGTGCTTCCAGGCCCTCTGGGCACTGGCCTCCTGCACAATGCGCTGGCAGGCAATCGGCGCGAATACCGACGAGTTGAGGTAGAGCAATCCCTGTTCCTACAACGCATACAGTAGCAGGTTCCGGTAGACACTGTCGTCATTGCCCGACTTCGTTCGCACATACACGGGCATGATCCCGGGTCAAGCTTGAGCTTTCTTGCGCAGCGCCTGCAGACTAAACTTCACATGCATGTCATCAAGCTTCCGTGAGCTCTTGCGCGTCCTGAACGGGAATTCTTAACCCATCAGCTCCAAGATCCTTGTCTGAAGTTTTCCTACCGTGCATATCCGAGTCTTCATGGCGGTTCGCTGACTGCAGCCTTCTAGGTTTGACGGTTGCCTAACACCGCTGCGCACATGAAGAGCAATTTCAGGGGCGGCGTCTTGGGTACAACACCTCGCTGTTGCGAAGGTTTAGGGGTCGTCGTGGATCTGTGGCATCTCAGGGCAAGAACACTCGAGTCTGCAGAGCTTGATCCTGGCAGGACCGCCGTTGCCAGTGTCCTGGGGGCAGTGCTGTCACAGCGCAGTGTGCTGGGGACCCGGTTGCACTGTGCATTCGCAGTGTAACCACTTACCCCAAGTACAACTCTTCCCAAACCTGAGAAGCCGAAACCGCAGTCCTTAAGACCGACTCCATTGCGGCGAACTAACTGAGGCTTCAGCGGTTTGAGCAGGAACAGCACTTCCACCTCAGCTAAATATCTGCACAGTGATTACGATCACTTTGACTGTTATGTCATTATGACCACCAGCAACACCACCAGCACGCCATCGCCCTCGATGGCCTCGATGAGTCAGAAAGTGGGGGGAAGAGGGAGTCCAGCCTCTGCCTGAGGCAGCTCTGACATCACTGATGCTGCTCTTTCGGGGCCAGTCGAAGGCCTGGTTCTCGCGGGTTGAAGGTGTGGCGTTCGGAAATATGCGATGTCGGTTCACAGCTCAAGAATTTCTAGCAGTGACTTTAGCAGTGGCTGTGGGACGGCTGCCACCTGTACTCGGTTACTTCCTGCAATGGAGGGGCTCCGCACATGGCAGCGAGATGGCTGCAGAAGCCAAATCCAGAACAGGTTCACCAGGCTTGAAAACGCGAGACACTCTGACCAGAAGCATGAAATAAATCGAAGTTAAGGGACTTGGCAGTTGGTTGCAAAGCTCGGGCCAGAGTACTATTACTAGATTACCAGATCCGTATATCGGATATCTTTGAACTTGCGACAGTTCACGCATTACCCTGCTTCCACTTCGTGCCTTGCCCTAGGCTTGCCATAAGCAGAGTTCTTCCTAAGACCACACTCGAGTTGTGTACTTCTATTCTAAGCCAACAACAGCCGATGTGCTTGGCCTCCGCACTAGTCCACAGCTTTTGCATCCCGTGTGGCCCCCAATCCGCACTCCTCTCAGGTCCCTCCCCAAAACCAGCATGCAAGAGACAAATCTGCAGTCATCTAGATTGGATTTAGGTCCGGCTGCATCATATCGACTCGGGCAAGTATCGCCAAGTCCCACTCGGCCGACAAGCCCTGAGACAGCCTTATCTTGCTTGACCCTCAGGCCCAACAGCCTTATCCCTAAAGCCCGAGACCCATAGAAAACCCTCAGCCTTTAACCCTAAACCAGAAGCCCGAAACGTCTCCAAAGCTCAAGAGAACCCCGCAGGCCAGAAGTCTCAGAGTCCAGCAGAACGCGCAAGACGCGGCAGAGGCGAGTTTGGGGATGCTCCGATGGGCAAGGTTGAGAGCTTCATTCAAGCAGCACTTTTCAAATTGCAATCAGCACCATATTTTCCGGGTTAGTCTTGGTATTTATAAGCACATGTCCTTGGCTTGGGGTTCGAAGCCTTTGCTGAGGTTGTTGGGCGGTTAGCAGTTGGGGTGGAGATACGTGGTTTGAGGCTATGTTTTTGCAACAATCTGGGGCTGTCCTGGTTGCTTTTTGGGGTTTAAGGTTTCGGGACGTGCTGCAAGATGGCATGCGGCTGCTGGATAGAGACACGGATTTCAGAGCCTGCATCTTAGATGATTACACCGTTGTCGCTCCCCGTCCCCAAGCGTAAGCATGCGAGAACCTCCCGGTGCCTGCAGTTTGAAGGAGCCTTGGCTGCGCTGGCCCGCTTTCCGGTCTGCGCTCTTGCAGCTCCGGGTGGTCAGCCAGGCACAGCTCCGACGGTTTCCTTCTGACGCGATCTTTGGGGTGCTTTCTTGCACGACGGGAATGTCAACCTGCTGTGCAGATGTCATGATGGCTTGGTTCGCACGGTGGCGCGCCCACAAAGCGTGGTGTTGAGCCCGGTCAGGCAAGTCACTTGTACAAGTGGCTCGGAGAAGCGGATCTGGCCGATGCCTGCTGCCAGTGTGGCCTGCAGCCACTCGGCAAAGCCTGGGTGACAGCAAGAGCACATCCCCGCCCCTGTCCCTGGAGAGGTTGATATCGCAGAGGCTTTGTGGAGACCATCGTTGGAAGCTGCGGTTCCTATGCATGCGTGCAAGGCGCTGCCCGTGGCAACTTGTCAGAGCCTCTCAAACCCACTCCCTGCTCTGCTCATCGCAGGTCTGCCGTGGCCCAATCAAGCCGTTTGCCCGACATGGCCGGCTTCAAGGTGGGGCTGAGGGCTTGGGGCCGCAGCTTCCGACCCCAAAGCTTCCTGCCGAGGATGTGAAGGCGCCGGAACTGGAGAGGCTGCTCGCAGAGATCGACACGCTCTGGAAGGGGACGGGCCTTGTTGCACTGGGGTCCAAGTGCGGGCTTTCAGTCCTCGGTTGCCCCTGAACCCTAAACCCTAAACCCCAAACCCTCAACTCTAAGCCCTAAACCCCAAACCCTAAACCCTCAACCCTTAACCCTTATTAGAAGGCCCTATGGCTTTTGAATATCTCAGGCGGAAGCCCCGTGGGCCCTTCCTGAAACCTTGAAGCCACAGGATGCAGGTGTCTGCAAAGATGGGCGCCGAGGAGGGCCCAGAGGCCACACTGGAAGGGGGAAGGGTATTTAGGGTTTGGGCTTTACGGTTTAGGGGGTCTTGGGGTCAAGGTTTTGGATATTTTGGATGTTGCGTCTTTCCAGAGTTTTCGTAGACGGGAACTGGGGCACTTTGCAGGGTAAATCTATTGGCTGCCTTGCTCTTTCCGCAGTGATGTGCACAGACCTTGAGCAGTATAGGGTCCTTGTCACCCCAGTCTAGGGTCGCATCATCTTAAGAAGATCGGAACCGACGTCTTAAGCAGACTTTTCGGCCAGTTAGACGTAGTGTAGGCGTAGACCCCTTCATTGAATCAGACCTTTCAGTCGCTGACTATAGTGGTGATTGTGAGGCATGCTTCGTGGCACCTGAATAGAGCTCCCCTATAGAACACCGCAAAGAAAAACCCTAGAAGCTCTAAGACTCCAAAAGCCCTAAGCCCTAAACCCTATAGAACTTCTCGAAAGAGCCTTTAAAAGGGCCCCTTTTTCAAGGCATCCCGGAGTCTTCAAGCCCCTTCCGAGCCTCCAGAGGCTGCGGCGCCCTGGGAATGTCTGGCGGCTTGGGCTCCGAATGGCAGGTTTTCGGGTTTTGGCGGGTTTAAGGTTCAGGGTTTAGGGTTTAGGGTTTAGGGTTCAGGGTTTAGGGTTTGGGGTTTAAGGTTTATATAAGGTTTAGGGTTTAAGGTTTAGGGTTTAGGGTTCAGGGTTTAAGGTGTAGGGCTTTAGGGGTTTAGAGCCTTCGGGGTTTGGGGTTTGGGGGTGAGGGTTTAGGGTTTAGGGTTCAGGGCAGAATTTGGGGGCTTCCGTTTTTGGGCTCTAGAGGGTGTTATAGGGTTTGGGGGATGACCCTCTGGCTTGGCCTGGGTTCGGGTTGTAGAGAATTGAGGGGTATAGGTATGGCCTCGGGATTCAGGGTTTGGGGTTTTATAGGGTCTGTAGGGTCTACAGGGTTAAGGGTGTATAGGGTTTAGGGTTTAGGGGTTATAGGGTTTAGGGTTTCGGGGTTTACAATATATTGCACCGCAACCTTGCACATGCCGGAACACAACCAATACCACAATCACAAACCCTAAACCCTAAACCATAAACCCTAAGCCCCCAAACCCCTAAACCCAAACCCTAAACCCCTGCACCCTAAACCCTAAACCGCCAAACCCTGAACCCCTAAACCCTTAAACCCCTAAAACCTCGGCCCTCCACCCTGAACCTTTGCATTCTCACCCCAGGCGTGAAGACCAAAACCGGAGAACCGGTTTAGGGTTTAGGGGTTTCGGGGTTTAGGGTTTAGGTTTTGGGGTTTAGGGTTTAGGGTTTAAGGTTTAGGGTTTGGTTTTTAGGGTTTAGGGTTTGGGGTTTGGGGTTTAGGGTATAGGGCATCTAGAAGTCTAGAAGCGTGTGAAATGGATCTATAGGTTCCAGAAGGGGGTTCTTATGAGGGATCTTTCCGGGTCTATAAGCGATCTATATGGATTCTGCCATGAGTTCTGTGAGGGTTAAATGAGAGTTCTACTAGGCTTCGATAAGGGTTCCATAGGGACCTGAAGTTAAGAGGGATCTATCAGGATTCTCTACTAGATTCAAAACGGTTCAGGGTTCTATCAGGGATCCGTACGGGTGCTACGAGGTGCAGATTGTGTGCTTGAGGAAACGTCCAGACATTCTTATGGCATCGCATGTTGACAGCTCCATGTGACAGGTTCTTCCGCACAAGCAGAGTCCAGTAGGTGCTTCGCAGGCCATTCAGACACCCATGCCAACAACTGTTCGACAAATCGTGACCGCAGCTATCAGTGAATGGGGCGGAGCCGCAGCCCGGTCTGATCTGCAGAGGATAAGACCATGCGGCGTCGATTCGATCTCTAACCTCAAAGCAGTTACGCGAGCATACCTCCGGAGCTCTGTGCAACCGGCTGTCGGTTCCGTTTGTAAGGTTCTTGCGGTTGAAACTTTTACAGGCCAGTAGGAAGCTAAGCCCATGAAAGTATGTCGACCGAAACGACCCAAGTCCTGCAAAGTACCCGAAATGCCAAGAAGAAAACTCAGGAGTTGTGGGCTGAGGCACGGCAGGGGCAGGGCAGGTGGAGGGTTGTGGGAAAGAGGTGCAAAGTGACGGGTTCGGATGTGGGATGTTGTGTTTCTGCTTTGGCTGTGGTTGTCTTTGGTTTATCAGCTCAATCGGAGGGGATGCTTTATCTTGCTGCCATGTTAGTCGATATCGAGTCATTTGGTGGTTGGGTGGCAATGTGGGACATAATTTTCTCTGCGTCTCCAGGCTGGAACCATGGCTGGCTCTTGTTGGCGGGGCTTTCCGGAATTCGGTCGCTCTTGGAAGCTTCGTCTGACGGCGCTCGCGGCACAGCGTCGAAGGTGTCCAGAAGCTTGGGCAGCGCACATTGATGGGCTGCTATCTTGGATGCGCACAATGCCTGACCAGCCACTGCCTCAACTGGGCCAGATGCTGCTGACAGTGGCGCAAGTTTTCTTCGACGAGGCGGTTGATGGTGGGCACAATTCAATTGACGCCGGCACTTGCGATGAACTGCTGGCAGTGCTGTCGTCTTGCAAGAGGGAGCTCGTTCGCGGCGAGAGCTGTCCGTTGCTGCAGCCTCACCAAGAAGAGGCTGTTGCCACCGCTGCCAAGGCTGGATCCGTTCAACAGAGACGGGGCTCTGTTCATGGATGCACACGTTGGTCTGCCACGTCTGCCTGCTGTAAACCGTGTATCCGTAAAGGATGGCTCGTCCTCGTCGGCGAAGCTCGTGGCAGTCTTCTACCTGGTCGCCGGTGCCTTTCGAGGACACCGGGCTGCCGGGCGTGATGTCCAAGGAATGCTTTTAGCCACAGTTGCTTCGAATTGTTCACCCCTGATGAGATGCTCTCGTGGCGGGTGACAGCCTGACTCTGCGGTCTTCAGCGCAGCTCCTCCTGCGGGCAGCAGAGGCTTCTAGACACTTTGAGCCTTGCCGCTGCTATACCACCAGTCCTGCGATTGGCCAGGCTTCGAAGAGCAAGGCAGCTGCTCTTCAAAAAGACGAGAAGGCGTCAGGGGCGCTGAGCTTGGACGTAGCAGTTGTCCTGTCTATTTGTGGAAAGAGACGTTGTCGCTATCAGCATGTCTTGCAAGAGCAGACGCTGGAAGGCCATCCATCTCTGCTCTGCTTGCGAAGGCAGTTTGCTGTTGCGCCCAGCCAGGTGCCAAGCAGGGGCAACTGCCGGAGCCGCTCACGCAGCCCTCGGCGTGACATGCCCGGCGGTGTCTTGAGTCCTTCGTGGACTCGAGAGTACTGGTCCCTGTGCAAGCAGGCAGGTTCAACTACGTGAGAGTTCATAGTGATACTCATGGATGCGTTCCCTGGTGTCAGGATAGTGACAGTGGTAGTAATAATAATGATGCTAATATTGTGCCACGTTTGACTGAGAGGGTTACAGCGCCGAAGGGTAGACCAGGAGCTGTCAGACTCTGTCAGAGCTCACACAGACCAGACGTCTGCCTTAGCGACTGCGGCTCAGGGTTTAAAGTTAGGGTTCAGGGTTTAGGGGTTTACGGATGTTTAGGGTTTAGCGTGCCATAGCCAATTAAATCTGGGCAGGTCGTTCCGCTGTGCTCGGCTGTGTCTCTCCTCTTTTTGACGGAGCTTCGCTCCATGCAGCGGGTTGTGGAATCCCTCGGCGATGCTAGACCCTTGGACAATTCTGAGGCTTCAAATCTTGTGCTGTACCCTGAGCCCTACTCTTCGCATGATTGGGGATGGTGAAATACGAAGACGAAGACACTGCCAGGTATTCCAGGCTGCCAATGAATCAGAACCAGAGTTCCGGTTCTTGCCCTGTTGTGAACTAAGACTTCCAATCTCACAACGGCTCAAGCACCCTAAATCCTAAGCCCGAAGCTCACCTTTCAGGAATGGCGCAGTACTTCTTCAGCGAGCCGCACAAGGAGCTGCAGCCCTCCGTCGCAGTGGCGAAGCTCTCGTCCGGAGAGTGGCTCAAGGAGGTGGGAGTCTCAAAGCATTGGGGACCTTACCCTGGACGAAGAGGATCCTTGACTCTAACGACCCTTGAGAAAGGTAACCCAACTTTCTCAAAAGCTCCCAGGTGAGGGCCGACCTCTCCCTTGCGTGGCTGCAGGCGGGACAGAAGAAGGCCAAAAGTCTTTAAAACCCCTGAACAAATGCCCCTTGCTTGAAGCAACCGCAGCACGCACCAAATCCTGTAGCCAGTCCGAACACTTGACGATTTTCATGGGCCACATGAAGATGCAGGAGTAAATCCTGAGCGACATCCAGTGTTCGAAAGCCACGGCGCCGTCTCTACTTCAACATGTTGACCGTCACTGCCGCCACCGCTACCGCCACCACCACCACCACCATCATCATCATCGTCATCAGCATCAGCATCAGCATCAGCATCATCATCATCACCACCACCATCACCACCATCGTCGTCACCATGATTATCATCACCATCATCACTGCTCCGCGGACGCCATAGCTGTCATCGTCATCGTATCGTAGCCATCGTGTTCTGTCTGGATCGCCACCAGTGACATCAGTATCATTGCCTGATATCGGGAAGCATCCAACGCAAGCGGACAATTTCTAGGACGGCTCATTGATGCATTTTGTTATCTTCGCTGGTTCAGAAACTGCCGAGGTGGACTGGCAGGGCCCCATGCTCCGGATCACACGTTCGCTGGACAGTGGTCTCGGGCCGGACAGTCACTCGCAGCTCGTGTCCCAGCAGGTCCGAAACTTACTTGCTTGCTGTCGTGGTCGTGGTGTTGCAATGCCGTCATCGTTGTCGTAGTAGCAGCAGGGACTTCGGATTACCACTCTTATCATGCCATCTTCGTTGGTCGTCGAAGTGGTGGAGGTCGTGCAGGTAGTAATTGGATATTTGGAGCAGAGCGTGCCGCAGCCAGCCGCGGTTGGCATTGCAGAAGCAGTCCAAGTCGTAGTGGGGGCAATCTCGGTAGTCTTTTGTGTGGTTTTGGCGGCAGGAGTGGCGCTGGCAAGAGCAGCAGGGTTCACCAACGAGAACCGTTGCATGAACTGGAAGGATGAGCACACTCCAACTGGTAGTTTCGTTCGGTTGTACAACAGACGACGAAGTTTGACAGTGCAAGAAGTTAATCAGAAAGAGAGCACTGCTGTAGTTCGCAGCAGGATACTTCTTTTCAGCCCCTTATTACGCGACAACATAACAAGCACAAGACAAAACAGCAGCGCCATTTTGCAGAAGCATTTGCAACAGCTCGGCAGCACTAACAACAGCAACGCCAACGCAAGCGCAACGACAGCACCATCAGCAACCGGGGCAGCAGAGATACAAGGTCAACAGCATCAGCAGCAGTGACAACAAGCCGCAACAGCGAACATTGACAGACGATGACACCAACACCACAACAATGCTATGGCCACAGAGTGCTTTTCATTATGTCATCTATGTGCATGTTCGAGCTGGTCGCAGTAGTTATGCACAAGCATTCGTGCAATTGGAGGTGTTCAGCTTATTGGGTGGTGGGATTGCTAAGTTTCGAGCCTGATGCTCAAATCTTGAGTTGCAATCAAATGCTCAGTCAAGGCCAAAACCTGCACAGTTGTATTGCAGGTCCTTCTTCCGCATGGTCTGCTCCCGTGCCTGCAGGACAGCATCTCACGTAGGGCATTTTGGAGCGCAGGGGGGGCCCTAAACTCCGAAACCCTACTACTCGGTCCCGGGGCTGTCTCGTATCAACTGGGTGTTTAACGCATCTGCAAGGCGTCTACTTCGGGGAACGCATTATAGACGTTATATCATCTCATCAAGCTCTTCATCTTCATATTCAGCGTCGGCAGCACGCTCTCGCATCTGTCGGTGTCAGTGAGCGCGTGCGCCCTCATCTTCGCAAGAGTGTGTGCTTGTGTATGGCAGGTTTGTGGGCTGTGCATGGTCCAGAAGCCCATAATTACGATAGCTGACGATTGGAATACTCCAAATCCCAGCATCTACATGGCAAACACACTGTTTTCTTATCTTGGAATGCTTCCAACTATAGTATATGCCTCAGCGTCCGCAGCAAATCCCGCATTTTGGCCTATCTGCTTCGTGCTTCTTGAAACCAGCGTCTACATGGGGTTTAGCTAGTTCTGATGTGTAATTTCCCCGCTGATGTGTTTTCTCCCTAAA